TCCAAACAAGACAGTACACGACGTTATCAGTCTGCTACTTATCAGCACTCTGCCCAGATCTCATTCCAAATTAACTACGTTTGTGAACATCCCTACCTTACAAAATGAAAGATTTTGTAGGTGTGAATCTTGCAAACATTTATATCCTGATTTTAAAAGTTCTTTAAAAGATGCCCTATGAAGGTGACTGATCACTAGAATAGGTCTACCGGAGAGGTGATGGATTCTCTCTCCTTGCAGATATTCAGTACACATCTGAGTATGCTCCTGAGCAAGCTGCTTCAGGTGACCCTGCCTGAGGTGAGGGGATGAACAAGATGACCTCCAGAGATCCCTTCCAACATCAGTCATTGTGTGGTTCTCACAGAATCATCACAGAAGGGTTTGAATTGGAAGGGACCTTTAAAGCTCATCTATAGTCCAACTCCTCTACAATGAAGAGGGACATCTACTCTGATCCAATCTTCCAGAAACAATCACCATAAAGAATCATAGAATGGCCTGGGTTGAAAAGGACCACAATGCTCATCTAGTTTCAACCCCCTGCTATGTGCAGGGTCACCAACCAGCAGACCAGGCTGCCCAGAGCCACATCCAGCCTGGCCTTGAATGCCTGCAGGGATGGGGCATCCACGACCTCCTTGGGCAACCTGTTCCAGAAAGAACATAAAGAAGTCAATTTTATTTGATAACACTTATCATCCATGAATTTATTAAAAAATAGTATTAAAATGCAACACTCTGTGATATAATTAAACTGTTATCCTGTTTTACGTGGCCATCAGCATGGCCCTGCGCTGGTAGCGTTCCTGGGGGAAGTCACAAACGTCTGTCCTTAGCTGCAGGCTGGGCAGCATTCCATATTATCTGACAGCATTCTCTCTTTTTATCTGATAGCATTCATTCTCATGGAACAGCTGCAGAGATATTCTACTCCAGTGCCCTGAAGGAAAGGGAGAGCACAGCACCTGGCCCTGGCGCGGCGCTCCTGACGAGAAACTTATCTGATTGAGCAAAAAACAAGCTTCAGATTAACACTTCTCCTCGCTTTAATTAACCCGGCCTCGTTAGCAGGGCGGGTGGGCTATGTGCATTTCCTTGAAAACACAGATCTGAATTTCCAGTATTTGAGTCACCACAAACATTTGTGTAAACATACAAAAAAAGACACTGAGTCACCGGCGGTGCCACTGTCCTTCAGCGCTTCTCCTGCTTTGAAATGGACACCACAGCTTTCCTGTGGCAGCAAAATAAATAGCAGAATTTGATGGAAAGGGGAGGAAAACATAAACTGGATGGACACAATAACGTATGGTATAACAAAGCAGTTGTGAGGAGGGACAAACATGGCCATAAACTGATGAAAGCTGCTTTCATCAGTTTAGTGCTACGACTCTTCTTGCTTTTCAGTTCCAAACTCGAAGCAATGTGTACGAACATCTCCCCAGCAATGTAAGGAATGCTACAGTACCTGAACACAATCTGGCACACAGACTGAACAGAAGTTAACATCAGCCCTTGCAGGATCTGCTAAGACTGGCCCGTGCTTTAACTTGCAGCAGCAACCGCCTTTCGTTTTCATCTTCAGCCTTTTTTCTTTTTTAGTACTTTGAGGACGTGGTGTGGAAGGAAGAGCCGGATCTCTCTTTGTTCCTCTTAGCTACAGCAATCTGCTCTCAAGGTAATAGATGGCTGCAACAATACCTGCGTTGTTCCTGTGCAGGGCTGAGGGGTTCTTTTCACTCAGGTGGTGTCGCACTGGAACAGGTTGCCCAAGGAGGCTGTGGATGCCCCATCCCTGCAGGCATCCAAGGCCAGGCTGGATGTGGCTCTGGGCAGCCTGGGCTGCTGGTTGGTGACCTGCACATAGCAGGGGGTTGGAACTGGGTGATCATTGTGGTGCTTTTCATCCCAGGCCATTCTATGATTCTATTTAGGGGGAAATGTGTCACCTGGGTTATGGGGAAGTTCCTCTGCTTCATTAGTTTTTTTAGGGGAGGAAGTGAGATACCACGAAAAAACACTGAATATCCCAGAAGAAAAGAAACAACAAAGCTTTATTTGAAATTATGAAATATAGCAGCTGTGAACAAACAAAATCAAATGAAATACTTTTTGTTTGTTTTTTTTTAGAGGCGATCTAGTTGGAAATTTTCATTTGGATAATGGCTAATAGTGCTCAGTGATTAATAATGGTTACTTTGCCACAGCACTGAAGTACAAACGTTTCATGTAAGCACCGTCATTCAATAAAAAGAACCTCAGCCCTACTTTCTTCTACCTTGAGATCTACTGCGTTACACTTTGTAGGGTTCCCCATAAAATTCCCAGCACTGCAGGACCCTCACACACTCAGCACCTCTGTCTTTGTTCACCATGACTTCCTTTACCAACCACCTACTGACTGCTGCATCCACTGCTTTGGGGAAAGCCTGCAAACAGCAGTAATCACAGTCAGAACCATGGCAGTAAAATAACTCTTCCTGTAAGTGATTGCTGAGTTTAGAGAAGTACCTACTGAGGGGAAAATACCAGAAAGCAAAAAGCAGAAAACAAACTGGGATGGTTGTCCACTGTGAGCGAGCGTTCTGTGTGAGATACAGGTTCACAATTAGTTTTATTAGAGCCAGATCAACATTTGGAAGATCAAACAGCAGCTGTAGTAGAAATTTTTTCCATCTGTTTCGGTTTCTTCTTCAATGTAGGGACCTTACAATGATCATTTCTGCCTTTGTTACTGTGAAACTGTATGGCTGCCTGCACTCCACATGGGCACCACTGAAGGATCATTTGAAAAATTAAGGTAGTGCAAAATGTAACAGTCTAACTGCTATCCTGAATGAAGCATTGATGATATAACACTGAAGTTACAGAGTCTGCACTGGCTTCCAGTGATTTTCTAACATGGACATCCATGCGTTGGTCTGCAGCTCTGAAGTCCTCGATGGCAAGTCCAGTTATCTGAGAAATACTCATTCTGTGCCAAATGATGAGTGATGGAAACAATACAAACATCTTTATTTCCTCTGCAGTCTCCTCTGCACAAATGAGAGGAAAAGCAAAGAAAACAGCTATAGTTAAACATCCTTCCTCTCCAAGGCCATGGATGGGGCCCTGGGAGGTCTGAGCTGATGGGGGCAGCCAGCCCACAGCAGGGGTTGGTCCCCTCCAATCTAAGCCATCCTGTGACTCTCTGATCTGATTTCAAGCCCTCTGAGCTTTCCTCAAAGTCCATCATTGCTCAGAGACGCACTCAATGACGCTACCAATTGGAGACTGAAGAGATGGAGATTCAGGATGGTTTAAGAATGCTCCTGTACGACTGGGGTGCATACATAGCTTTGTGGGACATTGAAAATTCAGAGTCCACTGAAAAAAGTAATAGGCAAGTTACTTGTCTATTTGTTTGCTCTGGGTAGGGATAGCAGGAGAGATCCTACCAGCAACATCCCCGTGAGAAGCAGCGTTTTCTTTTAAGGATATTCAGATAAAAGAATAAACAAAGATAAATGAAAACTGCTGCCATTGAAATACGAGGTTTCTCTGCAGAAGTGTAACAACCAAGACTTTAAACGTTCTGCAAGGCTGGAGCAATAAGGAAAGGTTCCTAAAATGTACGTGGATAAGTGTGGGCCAAGTCCAACAAGGGCTGTGTCTCAGCTGCCTGATGCATGCATTCTAACAGTGCTTTAAGAAGCGATTCAGGTGATTTCCATTCTACCAGAACCACTCTCCTTGCTCTTGCTGCAGCCTGCAATCGCAGCACTCCTCCTTAAACGCAAGCACTGTATCTAGGTGCAGATGGCAACAGTTACAGGCACTAACCAGATGCTGCAGTCTCTAATTTGATTGAAAGGGTATAATTAGACAGCAGAAACACTTCAATGAGAGAGTAAGGCACAGAGGAAAGGACAGAAACCACTTAACCGATGCCAAGACACCCCAGCAGCGATGGAGGCCCACGGATGGAAGGGGCACAGCACCCAATTACCTTCCTCAGATGAGAGCGTTTCTGTTTCCCTATGGATACACGAATAGAGAGATTCTATTATCATAGGTTGCCACAATTCTGCATGTGGGAACGCTGATTAAAACCAGAAGAAGCTTCAGAAGATCAAAGAGACAAATATGGCTTCTGTGGTCATTATTAAAAATATTTTTAGTAGCGCAATGGCTTTCTTTGAAGATGCAGTTTTATTGATTGAACCAAATGTTCATTTGCATATTTTCATAGGATTGGTCAGGAAAAAAACCTTCCATAATATGTTATGATGGAAAATAGATTATTTTGGGGAGGATAAGGCCAGTGAAAGCCTGCTGTGATGCCACGAGGACACTGAAGCGGAAGGTTCCCCCAACGCAGTATGGAGACGTTCTGTATGCCGTTTAAAAATCTCTCATCCTACACAGGCACACACACATCATCTTTTGAGGTCCTCAGCTGCTCCGAAACGGTCATATTTAGTGTTGGTTCAGAGCAGAGAGTGGTCACAATGAAATTGGGTCAAACCTCATCTTCAGCATCCATCAGCACAGCCTGGGAGAGGACAGAGGTACGGTTCCACCACCACACTTGTCCCGAGCTTCTTTATCACTGGAACTAAGAATGCATGATGTAGCCCCAGAGGAATTTCTGCTCCTTAATACACCCATTTGTTTTCTTTGTGAAGTTTTAAATCTGTTGTTCCACTGTCAAGTGTGGCAGACCGAATCCCTCCGGAAATTTTACCAGCGTGGGCCTCAGCCACTGTGCAGATGGAGGGAGTGCTCAATTGCACAACCGCTGTGGTGTGATATGACAAAATGAGCAGCTGGCAGCGTGTAATCCCGGCCTCCTTCCCACTCCGTTGGCTCCACCCTACCAAAATCCATTCATAACTCTGGATTTTGAGTTAGGCTGTGTGCATGTACTAGCACGATCCCCCGAAGCGCCTAGGGTGACTATCTCAGCCTGCTTAGAACTGCTTGCTGGATGATTTGCATGATGGCTGCTCAAGGAACACAAAGCAGAGCTGCTTTACACAAAGGTTTGGGGTGAAACAACAGCTTAAAGGAAGGAAACCACAGCACAGAGATCCGCTACTGCTGAACAGAAAGATAACAGAGAAAGGAAGAGGGGAAATCAAACACATTTCTGAGTGGGAAATTAAATGAAGGCTATAAGTAGAGAAACTAAGCATGACAGCCTATTGCACCGAGTGTATAAAACAAGATTTCTTCAATGAAACTGACATTTCTCAGAGACTTTTCAGTTTCTTTGTCTTTGTAACACAAAAAGCACCAAATTCAGAAAATCTTTTAATCATAGGCAACACATTCACCACTCCACCCCCCCCTCAATTACTGAGAAATATGGTATGACTGAGCTTTGAGTACTGAGCTTTGAGTACAGTGACTGAATTAATACAAACTGGAAGGTAGGTGGCTGTGCTTCCTGGATCCATTACCTTTGCTACACATTCACTCATTGTAATATTGTGTTTTTTTCCCCACAGCTGCTTGTGCTCTGCCACCTTTAGTGGCTGTGGGTGTATGCAGTCAGAGCACGGATGTGCACAGAGGTCTCTACGCTGCCTATAAACCAAACACCCCTACAAGGATGTATCCTCTATGTGCTCACGTCCAGCTGCTGTGAAACTTGGCTGCTTACACAGTGTGTTCTGTCCACAGTTGTGTTCGGAAAAAAGATGACACTCTTCAACTTCAATAGAGAAAGGATTACCAACTGTGCAACAAACACTGCCTGATGGTACCAGGACCGGTAATCAGACATGGTAGGATTGATAGGATGTGGGGAAATGGTTTCAAACAAAAAGAGGGGTATAAGGAAGAAGTTTTGACACCGAGGGCAGTGAGGCACTGCACAGGGTGCCCAGAGAGGTGGTGATGCCCCATCCCTGCACACAGCCATGACCAGGGGACGGGGCTGTGAGCACTGCTGGAGCTGTGGGTGTCCCTGTGCGCTGCAGGCAGTGGGAACAGATGGCCTTTGGGGGTCCTTTCCAACTCCAACCATTCTGTGATTCTAAGTGTACCTTACAAAACGTGAAGATGAGCAAGTGTCTATTCACAGCTAGAGGAAGCAGTGCAAATTCTGTATTAAGCAGAATAAGGGAAATTCAGCTACTCAGAGCACATCCAGGAGGACCGCGCATCTGACGGCTGTGACACTCGGACCGTCCGGATCAGCCGCTCCGGACCTGGCACCGCGCACCGAACTGGCGATAAGGAAGGGATGTTATCGCAAACCCGATCACAAAATCCCAGAACGACTTCGGCTAGAGGGGACCTTAAAGATCACCGAGCTGCAGCGCGCTGCCCCGGGCTGGCTGTTAGCAGCAGAGCGAGGTGCTGCCGGACGGCAGAGCTCCGTGCCAGCCGCGGCTCCGCACGGCTCGGGGACGGACCGCAGCTCTGCCGCCGCTCAGCCCTGCAGAAGATCTGCGAGCGGCTCCGTCCGCTCAGCCCGGTTCCCCCCCGCGTCCCCGCCGGCTGTCACTCACTCACTCACTCGCTCGCTCACTCACCGGACAGAACGGGCTCTCGGCAGCAGCTCAGCGCCAGTCCCGAAAAGGCCACGACGGCGGCGAGAGGGGGCGGCTCCATGGGCCGGGGCCGCCGGGCCGCACCGCGTTCCGGAGCGGAGGTGGTCGCGGGCGGCCGGGAGGAGCGCGAAGTGCGGGAAGCGGAGGCCCTACAGCATGTGTCCTGTAAGTGCGCCCCAGCGAGGTGCCGAGTGGCAGATGAGGGATCCTATTACCAGCCATGTGACAGGAAAGGATAGAAACCAACATCCCAACCTGCTGCTCCCCGCTGCGGCGCGGAACCGCGGCGCGGCCGCTTTTACGTTTGACACCGACGGGTTCGGGCCGTGCCGCCCGCAGAGGGGCTCTGCGGATCGATCCTCGCGGCCGGGACCGCCTCTCGACCGGCGAGGCAGCGGCGGGCGAACCCCGCACGGCTCCGTCGGCGCCCCGCCGGCCGCGCCGAGCTCTCGGCATCCCCCCGCGTCCTTCTGCCTTCCCCGCAGCCCCGCAGCCCCGCGGCCGTGCCAGCCTGGCGGCCCCGAGGGCTGTCTGCCAGCGCGCAGATGCGGCGCATCTTTTCTTCCCTTAGGGGAGGGCGGGGAGAAGACCGCCGTAATCTTTGCGCTATGGCTCTTTACAGCCCTGCACGGGCCGGAGGGTGTGCGGGGCGATGTAGGGACTCAGCCGGATGCATACGGCCTCAAATATACAAATACGGCCGTAGGCACACGGAGATGAGCACGCGGACTCCTGCAGTGCATAGACAAGTGCAAAGGAGGGCCACTAAACTGAGGCATGGGATGGAACACCTCCCCTCCGAGGACGGGCTGAGAGAGTCAGTGTGCAAAGGGGCTGTAAGAAAGAAAGGACAGACCTTTCAGCAGGTTCTGTGTAATAGGACAAGAGGAAATGGTCTCTAAATAGAACGGGGGAGATTTGGATAGGTCAGGGGACGGGGCTGTGAGCACTGATGGAGCTGTGGGTGTCTCTGTGCACTGCAGGCAATGGGAACAAACAGCCTTTGGGGGTCCCTTCCAGCTCCAACAATTATGAGTCTATGTTACATAGCATACATAGAGACAAATACACAGCTACTGACAGACCACAGAACTGAGGGGGAGAGCTCGTTGTCTCTATTTGAAAATGGTGAATGCAAATTCAGGTGGCTTTCCTTTTCTTCTTTTTCTATCTCCAAGTGGGCAGAAAAGCTATTTATTTCTCAAGGTCATACATAATGAAGCCATAGTCTGGACCTCTGCAGAGGTTTCTTCGCTGACTTGTGAGACATTTTAGCAGTGCCAGCACTTTTTTGCTACAAAGAAAATAACAGAAAGCAAACACCAACAGCAAAAAAGAACCAAGCAAACAAACAGAAAGCAATCAGGGAAAAGTTAGACTTGTTTTGTCTAACACAAATCATAGAATGACAGAATGGCTGAGGTTGGAGGGGAGCTCAGAGATCCCCCAGCCCTGCCGTGTGCTGGCTGCCCACAGCTCAGGCTGCCCAGGGCCCATCCATGGCCTCGGGCACCTCCAGGGATGGGCACCACAGCTCTGGGCAGCACTGCCAGGGCCTCACTGCCCTCTGAGTGAGGAATTGCATCCTCACATCCAACCTCAATCTCCCCTCTTTTAGCTTGAAGCCCTTGTCATTACATTCTTGTCCTTACGGCTTCTTCATACTTTTGCTGCATAATGACACCTTCAAACATCTACAAAAGAGGGAGAGACCCATTTTACTACTCTGAACGTGTCAGCCACAAAACACAGTTTCAGTGCTTTGTTACGGTGTTACATCAATACACACTGTATGCCTTATTCTTAGTATGCAGAAAGCTCTCATTGTACATAACCGTAAGGTGAAAAACGTGCTGAAATCTCTTTTGGCTGTTGTGAGATATATTAAAAGCAGGAGAAAAAAAGAAGATACTTAAACAATGGATTCATATATACCACGTCACCTAATATATACTCAAAGGGGCAGTTTTGCCAATTTATTGTGCCTCCAGCCTGCAACCCAAAAGGTTTGGGAAGCCAGTTGTGCATTGTGAAACCCTTGTTGACAGTGAAAGAATTACTAAGTTTTGCAGCTCTTTGGTTCTACTTTTCTAAGGTCTTTCATTCGTAAACTGGAGGGAAATCATGGCTGTGTCAACAGGCGAGGACAAAATGTTCAGATTTTACATTCTGCTGGGACAGCACACACTGAAAGGAACCTCTCAGACCGTGTATTAGAAGTATAAAATGATTCATTACTTATTAGCTACTGTTGTTATTGCCATCGCTGTTATTTGTGAACAGCGGCCACAAACCACAAGCAGAAAATTGCATAATGCAAATGGGTGATCTTGAATACAGTAAATTGAAATACAAATGAGTACAGAAAGAAAAAAAAATAACTTCTTAGGAAAAAAAAAAAGAGCTCTGAAAAAAAAGACCAAGGAATGACTATGAGCAACAAACTGGCTGAAAGCAAATTGTGCAACTGACACATATACCAACTGTGTGCATGAGTGGTTGGTGAAGGAAGCAGAGCGTGGAGTGAGCAAAGAAGGTTTTGCCAAGGAGTGCTGGAAGACCAAACTTTGGGAGATACATTAAATTGATTGTGTGAATTTCATTATTAACATGGTGTTCATTGTTTGTAAGTATTCCGTGTCCTGGTGACACTAAGGACCAGGATGGCAGGTAAGATGTCTTTCACATCGCTGTCACCACAGCTGAAATGCACCACCCACCCCTCACTGTGCTCACATCCACTGCTGTGTCCCATAAATGCTCACCAAGAGTCAGTGAATGTCAGTGGGGGCCATTTCTTCCCCATGGAGAAATTCAGTTCCACACCTTTGCTTCTTATGCATTTTCATGTCAGATGTCATTTGTCAGATTGCCCCTCCGCTGCCATCTGTCACACAGCCACAGAACGGAATGGGAAGTTGTGGGAAGGTTGGAGCAGAACGGCCTGCAGCAGTGATTGAGCACCTGGTGGGAAGGCAGGGCCAACCCAGGGGAGCTCAGGTGCATGCAATGTACCTGAGTAATCAGAGTCTTAGCTTCACCCCTTCCCAGACCTCATTTAAGGGTTGGCAGTGGAGGTAAGGGGAGCTTGCTGGAGATCCTTGTGCACCTGAGGCCTTTTGAAGGTAAGCAGCTTCTTTCCTTTGGTTTTGTGGCTGTTGCATTTGAGTAACTTTTCACTTACTGTGGCTTAGGGCTTTGTTCTGCTGTCATTGCTGTGCTTTCCACCACATTACAGAGGTTTGTCTTGCACTGCCAGTGTCGTGAAAGAGGAGGTGGTACTTTCAGAGCAGCCCTCCTGTCTAATATGGCTGCAAATGGCCCTAGAGAAGGTGTGTGTTTCTCTGATAAAGGTTAGTGTTTTAGGTTAGGATTATTTTCATTTTATTAACTTGCAAGTAAAAGATGAGAAGAAAAATGCAGAGAAACCACAAGCTCTTCTGGATTTTTGTCAAAACTTTGGTTCTGTTGTCTGAAACGTGTTTGATAGAAGAAACCAATACATGTCACTTCAAGACTGATGCTTTCAGGAGCAATATTCCTTCCTTATGATACACAGTAGGATGAGTTGGCTGTTATACAATCCCATGAAGCTTGTTAGCATTTCCCATGCGATTGAACAGTCATTGTATCGGAAGCAGAAATTAAATGATAGCACGCTATGTGAAACTGTTGTTTCTGTCTTTGTTACTGTGGACCATTTATTCCTCTTCTCCATGTTTCATTGAAAACTCATCTGGAAGTTCTGCTCTTCCTTGCTGAGATGTCACTGGATCCTTGGAAACAAGCTTCTGCTTGGCTCTGCGTCTTGTGAGGGGAAAGACAAAGTAAAAAAAAAAAACTTAAAAAAACAACAACTAGAGATGACTGTTAGAATGGTTACCATGATGTTACTGCATATTTTTTGTAGTACTGTGATACTTTCTTCCCTAAATCTCTGCTCACAGCATAATGTGGTTGACTGAGAAACTCAGCTTACTTCTCTAGGCTGAAAACATGGCTGGTGAAAGCTTGAAAATAGAACCCCTACTTGGTTTTGTGTTCCCATTCTAAAGGAGAAAGGAATTTAAACATAGCATTTGGTGATCAGGATTAGGATAGAAGGCTGTAATAGTAGTGCTTTATATCAATCAGTTATGTATGTAGAACCTGGAACAGGTGAGATTTGGTCAGTATAGGAGGTGTCCTTTGTGTATGAGCAAAAAACCATCAGTTGCTAATGGTATCTCCCATCTGTTGAGTATCCATTATTTTTGTACAGAGAAGGGAGAAAAGAGATTTAGGTATGACTGTTCTCTATGAGCTATAGAAAATGATGCTTATGTGACTCAAAGGTGAGAGGCAAAACTTAGTAGTCACTGTGGCATGCTGATAGATGCAGTTAATGATTGAGCAGAGGATCAGCGGGCTGCATTTTCAGTGACAGACACAGGTGTCACAGTGTGTTCTGCTTCAAAGGACTCTGAAGACATGAATCTGTTGGAAGGTTATAGGGCCAAAAATGTTTTTGTCTTGTTAAACTGGTCAACAGAGTGAATGATGTGCAGACTTCTAAAGCAAACAGTTAAAATCTGGAGGAACTTACTAGCCACACGACATGTTGTAGAGGTTTCTTTTACAGTACAATAGTTTATACAGTGAGTGTATCTGTTTGATAGGAATGTTCCAAGAATGGGCAGTGAAGTACTATACCTTGAATTCTCTTCACCTCTATGTCACAAGAAACATAAGCATTCTCAAGGCAACCATAGAAGAGGGAATACCTTCAAGGTTGTGTGGCAAATCACAGCACCATGCAATGCATTCCTTCAGGGATAGATTCAGTTTACCTGTTGGCATCACGCATCTTGAAGCAGGATACCTCACAGGCAGCCTTACCACTCAACAAATGCATTATTTTGATGAAAAATCCCATTCTTTCTCTCTCTCTCAATCAACCAACCAATCATGTTTGCTTGCCCCGATAATAAACTTCCAACTTTGCATCGTAGTTTTCTAGCAGGACTGAAGAACCATCAAGACATGATATTTGAAATCATCAGACTATAGAATCATGAAGGTTGGAGAAGACCTCTAAGATCACTCAGTCCAACCATCTACCTACTGCCAATTCTGCCCAATAGCCATGTATCTAAATAGTACAGCCACCCTTTACTTAAACACCCCATGGACAGTGACCCCACTGTTCCCTGGCAGCCAGTGCCAGTGCCTGACTGCATTTCTGAGAGGATGTTCTTCCTAATATCCAACCAGGATAAAAAAATATAGCAGCAGGAGAAGATCATGTTTGATT